CATGCTAGGAAAGACGGAACAGCTCTTCCTGTGACACTCACACCTGAACTGCCCCTTAAGGATTTTCCTCTTCTAGGGGATGGCTCTTACTGTGACACTCACGAACTGCCCCTTAAGGATTTTCCTCTTCTACGCATGTCTATCTGTTTCTGCTCTGTGCCCCTTTAAGGTGTATCTCAGTCTTTATAACTCAGACTGATGGCAGGATGCTCTAGCAAATGAAAGTTTAGATAGGTGTTAACCACCACTTTGTAACAACACTACACAAATTCTTTTCTTACACCAACTGTAATAATATTGCTTTTCATGTTTCATGCAAAATTTGTAAGATTAGGATGCCCCAAATGTTGTATGTTCCTGTTATTCTTTTATATTTCTCTCCTTTCTATGCATACATTAACAAGGATTTTCCATAACCTTCTCCAGCATAGCTGATAATTTTTTCTCCTTCAAAGTCTCCATTATATGCAAAGACAGCTGTCTCAGTCTTATGAATAATCAGATGTAAATTAACTAACTGAGGTGAAAATTCACCTTGCATTGCTCTGGCCCACATAAAAGGAAAAGAAAGCAAGCATGAAATTAATTTTATTTACCGCTAAATGATAAACTGGAACATGAATTGTGACGATATGAAAATAAATTAATTTCTGCAGTTTTCAAATAAGTCAAGTTAAATGTCAAGTGTGTTCCCTAGAAATATTTAATAGCCACTTTTTAAAAGTCTTTGAACTGTGGTAGGCATTGCTTTAAAGACGTAGCCAGTAGTTTTGTATTTTTTTTGTTTGTTTTTCTTTTTTCACAGTACAAGAGTATTTTTTTTACTTCAGAGGAAGGGAATGGGCTCTGATCCAATATGAGTTCCTAGCATGAAGCATAACAGGGCTTTAACTTCAATCAATCTGGATTTTATTTTTATGTTATATGTAAGCTGCCCAGAGACCAATCGGGAGAGTATTTTTATGTTATATGTAAGCCGCCCAGAGTGGGCAGCATATAAATTAAACAAACAAACAAACAAACAAACAAACAAACCACCCAGAGTAGACACATTCTAGATGGGCGGCATATAAATCTAATAAATAAAATAAATAAATAAATAAATAAATAAATAAATAGAACTTCCCCTGGAACATGATCCGGATCAGACCCACTGCAGATGCCATTTTTATTACAAAATAATGGTAGCACAGTGTAGGGATTGGGACACCTACACTTACTGTAGAGTAAAACAGAGAAGACGAGAGAGCCAAGCTCTATCTTTTCAAAACAGTGCTTGCTTTGATCCTTATTTCCTAACTAAGGACCAACAGAATTCCAAAACAGTGATTTTTTAAAAAATATATTCATGTGTATGTGGATGAAGATGTAGAGAAAGAGATGTATTTTACAAGATCTGCATTTGTGCATGAAAAGGGTATGTAAGAGTAGAACCTAGCTTGGTTAGTAAATATTATCTAGCCCCATTTCTAGTAGACATAAAAATTATTCTCAGTATGTGGCTAGACTCACCAGATAGAGTGATAGATTCTGTGTTCACTGTCAGAGCATAATAGTGATATTCTGAAACACATACGCATACCAGACAGAGAGAGAGAAATGCATGTTTTGCCATCTAAGGCAATGTTTAAGTATTGCACTGAATGGAAGTTATGTCTGTACATGAAATGTATTGTGCAGGCATGACAATCACTAGGTAAAAGTAAAGGTTCCCCTTGACACATGACAATCACTAGGTAAAGTCCAGCCGTGCCCAACTCTAGGGGGCGGTGCTCATCCCGTTTTTCAAGCCATAGACCCAGCGCTTTTCCGAAGACAGTATCCATTGACACGTGGCCAGTGTGACTAGGGAACGCATTGTCACGTGTGACTAGGGAACGCTGTCTTACCTTTCCACTGAGGTGGTACCTATTTATCTACTCACATTTACATGCTTTTGAACTGCTAGGTTGGCGAGGAGCTGGGACAAAGCGACGGGAGATCACTCTGTCGCGTGGATTCGAACTTATGACTGCTGGTCTTCTGACCCTACAGCACAGGCTTCTGCAGTTTAGCCCACCGCGCGTGTGACTAGGGAACGCTGTCTTACCTTTCCACTGAGGTGGTACCTATTTATCTACTCACATTTACATGCTTTTGAACTGCTAGGTTGGCGAGGAGCTGGGACAAAGCGACGGGAGATCACTCTGTCGCGTGGATTCGAACTTATGACTGCTGGTCTTCTGACCCTACAGCACAGGCTTCTGCAGTTTAGCCCACCGCGCCACCACGTCCCCATGACAATCACTACAGGATGTTAAAATGATGGGGAAATCTGCTTTTGGAGATCTCTAAATCACTTAGCGTTAGATGATTCTGTGATAATAAACCCTCAAACTCTTCTTTTCTGCAACATCTAGTTCATGCTTTGTATGCAAAAGATTATATGACATTGCCATTTAAAAAGGTTTCCAGTGGCAGGACAAGAGAAAAAACATTGCCTTGAAAAACCTATGCTAGAATTTGTGGTGTCACTGAAAGTCAAAAATAGTCAGCTTGTAAGTCAAACCTTGAACATTTATAACTTGCATCCCATTCAAATAATCTTTTTCATTATTTTAATTCAAACCTCTATAGATTTGAAGTGCATTTAGTTTCAGTGCATGCATACTGTACATGATAAAGCATCCAGATTTTTATACAGTGGTGCCTCACTTGATGACGTTAATTCGTTCCAGCGAAATCGCTGTAGAGCGAAAATGTCGTCAAATGAAATTTAAAAACCCACTGAAATGCATTGAAAACCGGTTAATGCATTCCAATGGGTGAAATACCTAATCGTCCAGCGAAGATCCTCCATACGGCGGCCATTTTCGGGTGCCTGTCTTGAGAAAAATGCTTCCTAAAAACAGCGGGGAGCCATTTTGAGCAGCCGGCAGCCATTTTGAAAACCCAACGATCAGCTGTTTTGATCGTTGTAAAGCGAAGAATCAGTTCCCAAAGCAGGGAACCTATCGTCGCAGAGCAAAAAAAAACCCATTAAAACATGTGAAGGTGCAGGAAATAAGAGTGTGCCGTCTGCAGAAGTAAAAGTGGAAAAAGAGGATGGAAAAAAGAATCGAAGAGTTAGTGGCGAAAGTGAAGAAGAAAAGGGAAAGGAGATGGAAGAGAAAGGGGGAGAGGTGAAAGTATGTGATATCAGCCAGTCAGAGAAGGGTGCATTGTGACATAATGCACTATAACATGTGAGGTACAAAACAGCACTGTATTTACACATGCTACTTTCCCGTGATGCACATTTATGTGGTGCACTAGGTGGTAGAATCTCCTTCTTTGGGGAGATTTAAATAGAGGGTAGGTGGCTTGCTGTCAGATGGTGCTCTAGCTGTGGATTTCCTTCTTTGACGTAGGTTTGGACACACTGAATCTTGGGGTCCTTTCCACATCTGCAGTTCTGTGATTTTACAGGCATAATATTTGGAAGATAATTTTAAAACCCATAACACAGGAATGAAATTTCATCTGAATTTATCAAGTGAGATTTGTAAATTCAATTGGCAAATGACATATTTTGACAGAGCTACCTATCAGAATTGTGCTAGGCCAGTGTTTCCAAACCTGGGCATCGTGACCATCAAGGGAGCTACAAAGTATTTTCTGAGGGTGGCAGCTCACCTTAATTGAGTTGTAGCCCTTGCTAAATAATTTCTTCCTTGTCCTTTCAGAGTGGGATATTAAAGTTAGCATGTATGAGAAATGGGCCATTTTTGTAGGAGAAAGAAGCCTCAGCTTTCCAAGAATGGGTGACTTTGTGCCATTAAAAATGACTTTTTATGCAAACATGGCAGTGGAGGGCACAGGTTACTTGGCTATTGTAAGAGAGGGAACCACTGTGCTAGACTGTCTGAGCTTGTGCTAGATTGTCCAAGCCGGTCTGGGGTCATGAGAGAGCCAGTTTGGTGCAGTGCTTTGGCTGTTGAACTGGAGTTTGAGAGATCCAGGTACAGACCCCTGTTTAGAATCTCTATGCATATTCAATGATGAAACAAACTGGATGCAAGTCACACTTGTACAGTTTAGCCTGCATCACAGGGTTGTTGTGTGAATAATAAGATGAAGTAAGGAGGAGAGTTATATATTGCATTCTTTAGGGGGAAAATGTGAGCTATAAATGGAATTAATAACCCACCCATTCCCAAAAGAGACAGCTTTGTAAGTTTGGTGATGTGCAACCTGTCTTTACTAAATAATGCAGTTCAGCATGGTCAAATGCACAGGAACTGCCTTTCTTGATGGTATTGGGTTTGACGGGGGTCAGGTGGGTTACAGCTGGCCCACATATAGTTTATTCCTGTATCTTGTAAAGGCAAGTCAGCGTCAGTCTTGGAAAGCGATGAGCAGGCTGATATGTCGATAAGAATTTTCTCTCTTATTACTCTCCTTGCCCAGTGAGAGAAGACAGCTGTCAAGTTACTGCTGGGAATATATTTTCCTTTCTGCCTTTTGTAATTTAGAACCCATTTTGTTCTGTCGTTTACAGCTCACAATAAGGTGTCTTATTGGGGGTGGGAGGTATCATCAGACTGTTTCTACATTACTTACATCATTAGTATCCCAAAAGATAATATTTAAATGTGGTTTTTTTTCTTTGTCTTGTTTAAGCCGTCCCTGGCAGATAGTCTTGCAGTACAATTATTTAAAATTACACCTGCATGACAAGCCAGGTGAGAAGCGTCGCTCTGAAGGACTGACCCCTGTAATGCCAACCCAAAATCAGATAGACTAAAAATATTGTAGAGGGAAGAAATTGACTGTCAGATTTGATCAGCACCATTAAATAGGCTGTCACTGGAGTACTAGATGTTTCATTCAGATACAGACACAGCAGCTGTCCTTCCTGCTAAATACAGATAACACAGGTGGGGAAAAAGTTATGTGAGCTCTAGCGATTTTCACTCATTGTCCTGATGGTCTCTTCTTCTTGCCTCCCTTCTCCCACCCCACTCCTGTTCCCTTTTCAGGTACGACATGTTTGATTGCATTACTATCAGATAAGGAGCTCACAGTGGCCAACGTTGGGGATTCAAGGGGCGTCTTGTGCGATAAGGATGGGAATGCGATCCCTTTGTCACATGATCACAAGCCCTATCAACTGAAGGAGAGGAAGAGGATTAAAAGAGCAGGTAAGCTTGGAAAGTTCCGTGTTTCCTTCAGTAGGAATTCTCACAGAACGTTATAACATGCTTGGATTTTGTTTGCCAGCTGATTGATTTTGTTTGTGTGACTTCTTGAAAATACCAATTTTATGGAGGTTCTCTTTAGAGAAGCCTTATTTTGCTCCTTTGGGAATCCTGAGGCAAAAGGAAAGCATTAGGAGATGGTGGAATGGGAGACTTAGAAGTATTTGATGGTGCTCACGTTTTTAAGGCTGTCTACAAAGAATGGAAACATCCAGATGGCCATCTCCAAAGATGATGGACAATCATGTGATTAAACTGTAAAGGAACCCATGAGGAATATTTAAATATTTTAAAAATGCAGTTTTCTACAGAAACCATTAAGACAGAATTGAAAGCTCTACAAGTTTATTCATTCAGTATTAATTATAGTTGTCATTAATTTGGCTGGAGTTGCACATTAATTTGCCAAAAGGAGTCATTTCAGAAGAGGAAGCTGTGTTAGTCTGTGCAAGCATCACAGGCAAAAGCAAAAATAAAAGAACAAACAAAAGAATAAATAAAAGGGACAAAAAATTGTGGTACTTTAAAAGACTAGTTTTTATATTTTATTGTGAGATTTGATGGGCAGGTCCACTTCCTCAGACATAAGAGAGAGGATATCTGAGGAAGTGGACTTCTTCGTGAAAGTTCACATTGAAATATAACAGCTTTCAAGGGACCAAAACATGTCTCTTTTTTTCTGTAATAGTTGCAAAAAGAGTAGTGTGCTTCACGTGGGTTTCTTACCCATGGCTTTAATGCCAGATTTCATGGCATGTGTGATTTAGAGTCCTAGTGTCTTTGAGCTTTCCCCAACTCCGTATCAGCAGTGGCTTCTGGGGGAGAAGCTAACTGTGTGAGAATCTCAAATCACACAGTGTGTGAGGAATGGCATTAATCCAGTGAACGGGTGGGAAAGAATCATAATAGAAATGTAGAGATGCCAAGGCTGGCCCTTAGGGAAAGGGTGCTGTATCATCATCAGACTATTTGTTTATCCATCCCAATAATGGAATGGGATATTTAGTCCATCTGACACAGTGGTTCACAAACTAGCATCCCCAGATGTTCTTGGACTGCAGTTCCCAGAAAGCTTCACCACTTACTGTGCTGGCCAGGGTTTCTGGGAGTTGCAGTCCAAGGACATCTGGGGACCGAACTTTGAGAACCACTGATCTAGCATAGGATGAACAACTTCAGGAGGTCCAGAGGCCTCGTTGAATTTTGAATAGTCACTTCCACAAAAAGTCCTTGAGAGCTGAAAACAACAGTGGGGGAGATTAGGAAAATTGCTGCCTCAGCACCTCAACCAGTGGTTCCCAACCTTGGGTCCCCAGATGTTCTTGGACTAAAACTCACAGAAGCCTTCACCACTACCTGTGCTTGCCAGGATTTTTGGGAGCTGTAGTCAAAGAACATCTGGGGACCCAAGGTTAGAATCACCGACCTAAAGTATGTGAGGGGCCTTTTTAAACATGGGGACAGTTGCACCAGGTTTGGTTTTGCTGATGTGTCCCTTCAGCTTTCAGGTCACATTTTGTCCACTTCTGATCTAGTTCAGTATACCTGATTTTAGCAACTAGGGTTTTTACAGTCAGATACAAAGCATAAAAATTGGTAGGACCTGCTTTAAATGAAGCAAATACGTTTGCACTGAGCAACAGCCCCTCACATAAATGATTAAATGGCAACACTTATAATGCTTTATAGTGTATCTGTACAAGACCAATATAATACAGTGGGGTTTCAACTTACAAACTTAATCCGTACTGGAAGGCGGTTCGTAGGTCGAAAAGTTCGTAGGTTGAATCTACATTTCCCATAGGAATGCATTGAAAACCATTTAATCCATATCTGCTCTTTTCCGTCCATAGAAACTAATGGGAAACTAATGGGAAGCTGCTATTCCGCCTTCTGCCAC